CACCACATTTAATATACAGCTGATCAATCAGTGTTGAACTCATAGCCTGCAGCACTATATCTGGCGTGTGTAGTTTTACTAGGAGGCATCTCTCAGTCTTCTCCCATTTAATGCTTCAGAATTACACATGGACTTCATTTTAAATAGTGGAATCACCAACAAAAAGGAAAACAATGTGGCATTCTAAGATCTCAACCAAGATACTTGCTCCAGTGTGGGAGCCACAGCCTGAAGGGTAGAGTGGGTTCCACTGAACCTCAGCAGGCAACTTGGGTGATGGGCCTCTCAGTTTCCCTGCTCTGCACATTTTAGTGAATGACTATGAAAAGGAGTGAGGAGTGATTTGGGAGTTGCAAAACCATTTTAGAAAGGAGGAGAATTGACAAGTGCAGACTCCATGAACGATAAGGTCTAATGGTATTTAAGAGTTACATACTGTAGTGACATAGACAGAAATTAAACTGGAAGCCCACCAAATGGGTATTTGTCTCTGTTCTCTTCCTAAATTACCATGTGATCTTGGATCTGTCACAACCCTCCTGTGCTTCTCTTTATGCAAATGAAAAATTAAAGCATTGCTGATGAGATTTGATTGATTGAAAACCATAATGATTGTGTATTGGACCAAGAGTAAATAATGTAGTTTATGTGCAGCCTTAGAAAAGGAGCTATGTAATAGTATATTTGCATGAAGTTTTTCTCAAGAATAGCACATCTGATGATCAGCTAATGACTAAGCTCTCAAGATCAAGGTCACTATGTGTTTTGGTAAGGTAAGGGCAAACTTGGCTGACCTACAAGAGCTTTCTGAGAAGAATTCCAAGGTGATGGGCTAGGACATTCCCCCCAGGACTTCAAAAGGAATTTTATTAAATATATGAAGACTACTTCCTAGTTGAAAAAAAAAACCCAATTTTTTGAATCAGTGACATCAGCTATCCCTGGTAGAGAAACTGATTATTTCCGGAGGCCATTTTCTTGTTTTGTCATTTAGGCTCAGGCCACATCTCCAGGACTGTGGCTGCATCACGAAGGTGCTGGCAGATGCTGGTTCTGTAGCATCCACTCTTAAAAGCCTCAGCAGCACCAGGAAGCTCTGCTGCATTTTCTCTCGTTGTCCAGGACCTGGTGGTACAGCAGCCCGGGCGGGCATCACCAGGCAGCTTGTTAGAGCCCTCTCCATGCCCGCCTCCCCAGTACTGAGTCAGATGCACATTTCATGAAGCTCCCTGGTGATTTATACCTGCATTAAACCCAGGAAAGCTGCTCTGGATGCTCATGCTTTCTCCCAATGGCCCCAGAGCCCAGATGGACCCTCAGTCCACCCAACCTCAAGAAGCACGAGGAGAAATGACAACCTGACATTGTCATTTCAAAAGAAAAGAAAAATGTGGATGATTAAAGAGTCACCATTGTAAGAGATTCTTTACACTTTAGAAAACGAACTGTCTAAATGCAGTCTGACCTGCCTGCGAGTGTGCTGAAGCAGCTACTTGCGGCTACTTACAGTGGCACTCCTTGCAGCTCAGCAAAATCTATGAAGTTACCATCCAAACTGTCAGAAGGTTAGGGGTAATGGTAAGTCCTCGCCTTCCTGAATGGCGACACAGCGCCAGTGAAGAGCTGTACTCAGGTCTCTCCAGTCACAGATCAGAGCTTTCAGGGCCCTCTTAGCTGCTTGGGAAGCTAGGTGAATGGGGTCTGGCACTTCTCTCTGGCCTGTATCTTTAGGAACAGAAGCAGTTGGAGTTTGTACATCTATTGGGAGACCCAGCCCAGGATGTACCTACCACAAGTAATAAGAACAGTGAATCCATGAAACATGTTTGTTGATTCCACTCATGTCTTCTGAGCATTTTTAAGAAACTGCCTTTTGTAAACTTGAGAACAATCCTATGAAATAGTATTAAGGTCACCTTCCTTTGTAACTGGAGATATGGAGGTTCAGAGAAACTGAATTGTCCAGTGTCACACGGTAGAAATGAGCATTTGAAGGCAGAAGATGGGCACTAACTCTTGTGCTTTTCTACCTTTCAAAACTGGAAATGGAGGCCGGTTGCCTCTGAGCACAGTGCCCTGCGGAAGTGAGAGAAAGGCAGCCTGATGCCGACAAGTGACAGAGAAACGGGCCAGCAAAAACCAGATGGCTCTGTTCTCCCCAGTGGGACATCACAGACCCTCAAGTTCCCCAGGAAGGACACTGGTGAAGGGCAGAGAGATGGACAAGTTCCTGCTCAGGCAGTTCCCAAGATGACGTGTCCCCAGGAAGACGAGGACATAGGAATCTCTAACTCATGCTCCTTCCAATCCTCAACGTCATCACACATGATTAAGGATATTACTGCTATACAACTTGTGTGGCAGGAAACAAAAGGTCATAGAACCTGGCACAGAGTTTCCCTGTACAGTGCGGATGAGTGCTGTTGTACCAATGGAACAGGTCTCACGCAGGGGGTACAGCCCAACTCATGGCTCTGACACACGGAGTCATCCTCATCATCATCATCACCAAGTAAGGAGCAGAGGAATGCTGGCTGTAAATCCACCATGCAGGTGAGAAAATCCCTGGGGGAGGGGACAGGCACTGTCCAACTCGGTCCATGTGGAGTCCGTCCCAGGCATTGAATGATACCGCTACTCTGTCCAGATCAGGCCACTGAAATTCTCCCTATTGGATTGTGGAAATCACTCCTATCCTATTATATCTGGTTTAGAGGAGGTAATCAAACCCAAGGGTATAACTCAGACACATCAACAACTCTCCTGTTATCACTGTTCAAAAACATTAAATAAAACATCTCCCCCAATTTCTTTAAAAAATGTGTCTTCATTAGAAATTCACAAATCTGGTTCCCCCAGGCATTAAAAATCAGATGTTAAATTTTCTGGATAATTTTGTAATGTTTCCAAAAGATATCTGCCATTCAAATGCATGCCATTTTAGGACTAACTCAGGTTTGGTGATCCAGAGAATTTTGATGGTATTTTTGCTTTGCTGATCAATTAGTTGAATATATCTGGTCCATTCTCTTTGGTTCCTGGACTATTGTTTCCTCATCTATAAATCAACAGAATTGAGAGAAAGTAAGTATAGAGTTTCAGTCAATTCCATCATTATAAAATCCTATAATTCAGGGAAACCTGTCCCAGGCTCTAATCTCCAGTCAAATCCGGTGTGTTCTAATGTCCTAGCAACCCAGGTGCAATCCTTACCATTCAGTCAGACAGGGCACCGACAAGGCCCGGCCAGCTGGGCTGGCTATCCCAATCAGTGGGTTTTATTCACACCATCTAGAGTCTGCCATTCTCTCTGTAGAAACCATCAGCTTACCATGAGGAGTAAAATGTCATCATCACCATGGAGGGAGGTTCACAGTGTCATAAGTTTATCAAGGTTTTAGGGCTGAGAATCAAAGAGGAACTCTTTTATGGGATGAATGGAGCCAGCTGGAGCCCACTGGTTCCTGTCTCCTAGGTCCACTCCTAACACTGAGACCCTGGGAAGGAGTGGGTGCCTCCTCTGAGCAGAAACCCACAGCATCACTTGAAGCCTGCTACCTTGATTAACGTGCAGGGCTCATCATTGAGGAGAAGCAAAAACACATAGCATGATTTCTTGATTCTAAATATAGGTGCTTTTAATCTCTGTATTCAGTCTATGTAATAGCCCAGGGAAGAAAATCAAATTACACACTGTACACATAAACCTCAAAAAGCACTGATTACTGATTAGAGGAAGGAGAAGGAGTGGGTAGACCTGCAGAGCACACCATGGGAAGGCCCGGCTCCGAACTGGTAAGAACTTGTTTCCATATTGCTGCTCGCAGGGAAATGAAACGCATCAATACATATATTTTTAATTAAAGCACGAAGTAGTTAAGCAAATTCCCAAAGTTCTTAGTCAGCACCTTTAATTTTTTTTTTTATCTTTGTTGAAATCAAATGTAAAGTGATTTGTTTGACTGGAAATTTATGATTTGCGAGGCTGTACGATGGACCCCTGGAGTAATTGCTTCATGTAGAAATATAGCTGCATCTGGGAAGGAAAGTAAGGTTTCAGAAGAAATTCATTTGCTTTGTAAGAGATTAAAATGCTTGTCGACTAATAAAATATCAACGTGGGACCTGAGCTCTGTTTCTGGGATGGGGCCTTTGAGGATCTGGACCGGAGCTCGAGCTATTGGAGAGAAATGCAGGTACCCCACATACTGCGGGGCACAGCTTAAAGGGGTATGCGAGCAGCAATCACCTCACATTCGCTGACCAAGTCGTTTTTCTTGAAAATTTATTTTGTTGGAAATTAAACATGGCTCTTCTGTGGAGCTCAAGCAAATAAAGCAGAGCCGGTTTTTGTTTTCTGAAACATGATACAGAAAACATCCACGGCTTTGGAGTCTCGTCTTATCAAAAACATCTTCCTCCTAAATAGAAAGATGAATTACTACCTGTATGAGTATTTTAAAAACTGCAGACTCAACCGTTTGGATGTTTGTGGCATCTTGTGATTCCAGGTGACTTTGCGTCATCTTGCTAATCTGGAAGTTGGTTTTTGTAGAGTGCTAAGGGTGTCTGCAGTGCTGTCCATCTCACGATTGCTGGGGATACAGCAGGAACACATTAGGCCCAGGGCATTGCAGACCAGAGGAGACAGAGTCCTGGGCCGAGGGCTGCTGGCTTGCTGGGCGGATGCTTTGAGCCATCAGGGAGCATTTGAGGGAGGGGGAGAGAGCCAGAAAACCAACTGTGCCGCTGCTTGAGTGTATTAAGCAAATCCCACAGGATTCTCAGCCTATTTTTAGGGTTGATCCTTGGCTTCATCGGTTCTGATACCACAAACCTTTCCCAGGCGTTCCAGGAGACCCAGCATTGCTTCATTTAGATGCTTGGCCCGACTGGCCTCTCTGCTCCAGTCCCAGGAGGTCAACAGGGTGAGCTGTTTTCAGACCACCCCAGTCCACTAGGTCCTCACTCCTAAGCACAGGGACCCTCGTGTGTTGCAGTTCCAGAGCGCGGAGGTCCCCCAGGCCGGATCAGAGAGGAGAGATCCATGACACAGCAACGAGACGTCGCTCTCTACAAGCAGGTTTCCACCTGAGCGTTCATCTTCAACTCTGGAAGTTTTGAAAGTTTAAACAAATACATTTTGTCCATTATCCTGTTTATTTTGCTTCTTACTTTCTCCTTTTATGCGGAGTTAGGGTTGCTCTGTGCTTTAAGTCTGGAACTGCTGTATCCCCTGCTTCCTGGTTTCAGGGGGATGTGATGCCAGGCTGCAGGCTGCTCCAGAGCCTGGCCACCGGGACAGGTCTGCACGGGGACAGGAACCTGCCTGAGGCAGGAAGCCCGCCATGGAGGGTGAGGCAGACCCAGCAGGAACCGCGTTGGTGCTTAACTGAGGGCAGAGGACTGCAGGGGCCGGGAGGAAGTGGACAAATGCCAATTTGGGGAAATCAGAGCAACTGAAGCTGGGGATGCAGATTTTGAGTTGGATCTTGAGACCTGACTCGTTAAAGGGAAGGGGCATGTCTGGATGTCTTACCACAGTTGGTTTTCTTTTGAAAGCCACACAAAGCTTTTAGCAAAAGAACTGAAATATTTACCTGGATTAGATATTATAATTAAAACACATGACATTTAAATCATGTGTGGAGTTGGGGGATTTTGTTGGACGCTTTGTAGAAGAAAAGTCAAGTAATGAAGTAATGCTTAGCTCACAAATATTTGGAAATCTAAGGATACACAGCTAAAGTTCCATCATGAGGGCATTCTGTACAATGGAGTGACACTATCGATACTTTTATGTACTCTAACACACCAATCATCTTATAAACTTATCTTCACACAGAAATTATGTGAAAAGATATCTGCATAAGAACCTTTGCTGTAGCATTATTTATAGAGAATGGTTAAAAACAACTTTTATCAAATAAGAGACAGAAATAACATATTTTTAAATGAATTAGAGCTGGGGGTATTGCTCAATGAGAAAACATGTGCCTAGTATGTGTGAAGCCCTGATTTCAAATCCTACCATCACACACACACACACACACACACACACACACTATTATTACCCAAGAGAAAATTATGTAGCCATTAAATGCAAACATTTGGGTCAATTTTCCTCTTTGGACCAATTTTGGTATTCTAAAAAGGTAAATAAAATGAAGTTTATATGGTATTCTATTGTTTGTGTAAAAATAAGTGTATGTGAATGTGTATTATATTTAAATACTTGTATCTAAATAGAGTGGAGGGAGACAAAAAAAAAACCTGCTAAAGCTGGTTTTCTTTGTGAAGAGAAGAGCAGAAAATTGAAAAAAACCCTTCATTTTTCATAGTCACTTGTTCATCATTGAATGTTAGGGTCTGTAAACAAGTCAAGATGGCGCCTGGCATTTTGCCAGAGGGAGTGGTTTGTGAAGTAACTCCAGCGAGCCATTAAGTGTGGGGATTCCTTATTGGTTGACTGCTGTATCTAGTTTATGTTAATTAAGATAAACTGTGTATAACGTATATATATACCCCTCCTGTCCTACAATAAACGGCTCCCACTCCTGCTGTACACAAGTTGCTCGTCACCCCCTGGTTATTTTGCTGCAGCCGGACTGCGGCAATTGAATAGTGTACATACACTTTCAATTTAATTTTTTTATTTGTTTTAATTAGTTACACATGACAGTGTAATGCATCAATGTTTATAGCAGCTCAATTCACAATAGTTAGACTATGGAACCAACATAGGTGTCCCTCAATAGATGAATGGATAAAGAAAATGTTATTTATATATATATATATGTATATATATATATATATATTTTTTTTTTTTTTTTTTCTTTTTTGTCCCAATGGAATATTACTCAGCTTTAAAGAAGAGTGAAATTATGGCATTTGCCAGTAAATGGTTGGGGTTGGAGAATACCATGGTAAGTGAAATTAGTTAATCCCACAAAACCAAAGGCTGAATATTTTCTCTAATATGTGGATGTTAATTCACAATAAGGTGGGAGGCACTAGGGAAGAGTAGCATTACCTTAGATTAGGTAGAGGGAAGTGATGGGAGGGGAGGGGAGGGGCTGTGGGGATAGGAAAGATAGTGGAATGAAGCAGACATTATTACTGTGTGTATCTATGTGACTGCATGACCAATGTGATTCTGCAACATGTACACTCAGAAAAATGAGACCATACATAAAATAATTATCTTTCAAATAGAAGTAGTACAAAAGTGGGCAGATGGACTAAGGGAAACACCACTTGACCTATTCTACTAAGAATGCATTCTTCTTTCCCAGGCTGAGTTCAGGAATCCTAGTAATGTCCATGGCTTCCCTTCCTGCTGTCTTCGGGCTTTCCCGTTACCAGGCTCTGCAGCCTCTGTGTGGCCTGTTGAATCTGTTGTGCTCTCACTCATTCTGCTGCTTCCTAGGGGTTCTTGCAGATCTGCCTTCCAGTTTTCTAATACTCTGTTTAATTGTGTTTAGAAAGTATTTCCATCTCCCATTTTGTTTTATTTTTAATCACTATATTCTGGATTAGAAGTTGCTTTATTTCATTCTCTTTAAGGTTTAATGAACAGCAATTTGGTAACTCTCATTCTTTCTAAACATTTTTAAAAACACATTTGTCTTTTTAGGCAGCCATTTAAACATACCAGTTTACAATCTTCTTTTGGTTCCATAATCGATTAGGACTTGAGATACTCATGCCTCCTTGTGTCTGCTGCCATGGGTACTTTCATATACATATATTTTAACATGCATCATTTGTACCTGTGAATGTGGTTCAGCATGCCACCTCAGCACACAGAAACAGCAAGCACTGGTCAAACCCACACTTCCTTTATTCCCGGGCCTGAATTCCCAACCACGAAAAATCACCATTCCACTTTAGGTTGACTTTCTCTCCAATATATGAGCGAACACACACAGTACTTGTCTTTCTAGGTCTGGTTTATCTCACTTGGCACCATGTCCTCCAACTCCATCCATTTTGCTGCAAGTGGAAATTTCTCATCTTTACAATTTTGTTTGGAAACTCATCTTTGTTAAGTCTCCCCCTTGTGCTTTCCCTTCCATCAGAATCCCACGAGGTACAGATTGGTCCATGATTTTCATTTGTTTCTGTCAAGGGTCTCAACCATCCTGGGGCATATTTTCTATTCTAAAACACTAGTTCATAGTTTGAAGTTTCCGTCATAATAAAGGAAATGTAATTTATAAGTCCAAATCCATGTGAAGTCCAGGGTTTAGTTCTGGGGGGATGTGTCTAACAATACACATGGTTTATCCACCGAGGACAAGATAATCTTCTCATTTTTCTCCCTCTGCTGTCGGACAGACTTTTATTAGCTTCCATTTCCCTGAACCAGCAGCACTTGGGAGTTCTGGCTTCATGCAGGATTTTGCTTCTCCTTCCCCAGCTCTTGTTGCCTTGAGCCGTGCCTCCCTTCTGTGTCAGTCATGCTAATTCAAGTGCCAAACCTTGACGGTATGATGGACGCTCCAGGACTGCGGCAGCACAGCGTTCCAGCACCCCTCTGGGGTTCCAGTGCCTTCTTCACTTGTGGTTATAAAGATTTTCTTTTTTATTGCAATCCCAAGTATTCATTAAATAAATTGAAGATGTCTTTAAGAAAGGAAACAGGTAATCTCTAGTGTGGGGGGGTATTTATAATGTATTGATTTCTCCAAGGACCATATCCAGAAGATTGAAAGAACCCTGTGTCTGGAAAGTAGCAAGGAAGGAGAAAGGATTGAATGCTCTGGGTATGCAATGATTAACAATCCACGAAGATGAAGAGTGACCACTTCAGGCCTGGAGAAGGAGCATCCAGTATGGTAGAGGAAAACCATTTCAATATGGTGTCCTAGGAACAAAATGAATGGGAGAAGGCAGTGTTCACTGTGCCAGTGCACTCCTTGGGCCAAGATTGAGAACTGAGCTTTGGACTTATTCATGAAGAGGTCACTGGTGTCCTTCAAAGGACAAATTTCAGAGGAGCAGTAAGACCAAGTGCTGATTGGAGTGTATCCAAAAATATGATGGGAGGCAACACCCTGAAAAGTATAACTGAAATCTGCTTCATTCTCTTCTTACTTTAAAGCTTCACCATTTTTCTGCCCCAAGACAAAATCTGTTGCTGCCTCCCAACTGGATTTAACGCAGTTAGGACTAGATTCCAACTTTTCCATCCTTAATCCACTCTCCATGAAGCCATCATTGAAGTTCATCTAAAGTATAGACCTGACCTTACCCTATTGTTCTTTGACTCTGCAATCATCCCCATTACCTGCAGGAGATGTTAAATTCCTCCACCTGGAGATCAAGGTCATCTGTGACTCGGAGGCATCCTTCTTCCTCATCTTCCCCTCTTGCACTTTAAGTTAATTGCCCATTTCCACATATTTTATGTGCCTTTTCAGGGATGTTTGCCTTTCCTCTGCTGGGATGCTCTCCTCCATTATTTCTGGGCTCCAGATTCTTTGTCTAGATACCTTCCATCATTGCATAGCTTTCTCCTAAGGAGGGACCCCACCATCCAGGAGCTCCATGAAGCTAGGAAGCCTGTGCAACTGGCACCAAGGGCATGCATTTTATATGAAGCCTACCAGAGGTTCATGAATACTGTGAAAAGCAGGAATAACTAAATGCTTGATATTTTCTTTTTACCCTTGTGGGGAATTTAGAACTTTTGTGCATTTGTTTTGTATTTGAATGTATGTATTTGAATGTTGAAAGGGGTGACCCAGTCCAGCCCTACTCACAGTACCCTGTCCATAATCTGTTGCTGAGCTCTTGATGTTTTTTCTCCTCTTTGCTGTGGGGTATGGAGTTTGTTCGAGCCATTCTGTAAAATAGTCAAATTTGGAAGCACTCTGCTTAATTCAGCTGCCATGTGCTTTCTCAGGAGACCTCCCTGATGACACTGTGTGTGCTGATTTGCACCCGGGCACAAACTCCTTAGCTACACATCTTGACTACCAGTGCCTACTCGTTTTATATTGTCATCTGGGAAACTGAGGCTCAGTGAAGCCAGAATAACTTGCGCAAGTTGCACAGCAATTTTCCACGCTAAGATCTGGCTCGTCCGCCTCTGCTTTCTATCACTCCACGCTTGTCCTCCGAGCTCATTTTAGATCCTCGTTTGCTTTTAATCA